TGGAGTAGGGAGATGATATGACCTTCAATGGGATGGAATCCTCTAGACTATAGAGGCTTCCCAAGTGTTTTTTAGTTGGTAACTAAAACTTTTATTCTCAAATAATCTATAAAGAAGAACAATGTATGCAAAGACTATAGGGAGCTACTGTTTTAAGAGTCACTTTCAGATTAGAGAGACGATTTTTGTAGCTCAGATGTAAAGGCGCATTTGTAATTATGTTTTGTGGGCTTCCACTTGTCAGGCAACCCATGCATCCTTATTCTGGTTTAAATATAATGTATTAGACAGTTGTGCGGGGGACTGTCCTCAGGGAGCGTGGATAACCCATCGACAGACACTTCAGGAAGGCTTTACCTTAGTGAGTTTGCTCTATTTACCCCCACCTCAGGAGTTCACAGACTTGATCTGTCAGTGCAGAAGGGCCAATTCTAAGAATGCTTCATGTATTTACATATGATTGAAAAGGATAAAGAGAAGAAAGTTCGTGTGTGTGTGTGTGTGTGTGTGTGTGTGTGTGTGTGTGTGTGGTGTACATGGGTGTGCTTACCAACATGTGTAGACATTGAGTTTCTTCTTTCCCTTCTCATCATATGTTTTTGAGACAGTCTCTCATTGAACCTGGAGCTCACTGTTGGCTAGGCTGTCAGGCCAGCAGCCCTTGGGATCCATTCATCTCTACCCCCAGTTTGGGAGTTATAGACACATACCTCTGTGCCCAATTTTTTTTAACCTGGGTGCTGGGGGTCCACGTGCTTGCACAGTGAGATCCTATACACTGAGCTATCTCATCTTTTCAGTCTTGAAAACTATTTTATGATATGCACATAGGTCTTCTGGGTTCTTAAAGATTCTGACATAGTGTGTCTGGCAAAGGTATTATTTCTAAATGCTCTTCTCAGAGTGGTGCTTGTGTGGCTTTGCAAACTTCTCTTGAACTTCTTCCTTCTTTTACCTTGAGATGGGGAATGATTTGGCCCAGACTGGCCTGGAACTCACCATGTAGCTGAGGATGACCTTGGACTTTGGATTCTCCTGCCTCTACCTCCTGAGTGCTAGGTTACATGCATACACTACTACACTTGGTTTCTGTAGTACTGGGAATTAAACCCAGGCCTTTGTGCATGTTAGGCTACACCTCTCGCACCATTATGTGCATCTTATTCTACTGAGATTTATTTAAATATGATCTTCCCATCTTTCTCTGGATGGGGTATTACACTGCTGAGTATATTTCCACAAAATGTTCCCCTGTTCCCTCTCTTCCCCATGGTTATGTCTAACTTGCCTGTGGGCAAGTGTCCTCCTGGCTCAATCCCAGCCTCAACACCTATTGTGTACACCACTTCTGTAATATGAATAAACCCAGAGACAGATATTGGGGTTCTAGTGGGTGGTCAGATAAGAAAAGCAGCCAGCCACTAGCTCTTACCTCTACCTCAGACTGCAAGGGTGATCCTGGCTCCACAAGTCCTCAGAGTGCAATACTCTATCCACGAATCCTCAGAGACAGTCGCTTTCCCTATCTGAAACTAAATCTTTTTTTTTATTTAATCATTTTTTATTTGAATTCTGAAACTAAATCTTGACATGAGATCCTTTGCTTCTTCCTTTTATATCCCCCTATTGCTGGGATTAAAGGTGTGTGACCCGAGTGATGAGATACTTTTGTGTGAGTTGTTTGTCTTTAGGACTGGATCAATGTCATGTAGTTTAGCATGGCCTTGAACTAACAGAGATCCATCTGACTGTCTCCTGAGTCCTGGGATTAAAGATGTGTGCCACCACTGCCTGACCTCTATGGCTTGTGGCTAATTTTGCATTCTGAACCCTCAGGCAAGCTTTATTGAATCCTAAATAATGTATCATCACAACTTCCACTGGTCAAGGTTGCAGAGCAAAATCCTGTGTTCATACTGTTTAGGGAGCCTCAGTGTTAGTCCTGTGCTGGGTGGAAGGAATCTTACTTTCCTCCTGAGTCATCTCTCAGCAATTCTTTTTAAATTCTGTAGGGTATCTCACCCATTCCTGGAAGTCATTGGATGCTTAGAGCTAAGTGAAATGACTAAACAGGTATGAACTCCCACCATCCAGCTCTGTTCCGTATTCCTGAGTTTCCACCAGAAGAACCCATTGGTCCTGTCTCAGACTGGCCTAATGCTCAGAGGCAGGTGTATCCCTGGGGCTCGCTGGACGGTCAGCCTAGCCTATTGGACAATTTCCAGGTTGGGGGAGACCCTGTCGCCAAATAAAAACTAGGTGGATGGTGCCTGACATGTGAGGTTGCTCTCTGTCCTGTACCCCCCAACCCTGAGTTCTTTAGCCAGATGTTTCTTGCAGATACTACCTCCTGGCCCTAGCCATGCCTGAAACTGGGAGAGGATGTTTTGAAGGCGTCATTGGAGTCTGCTGCTGGCTGCATGCAGTACAGGGGCAATGAGTTTCTGGCAGCAGGGGGCCCAATCTTGTGGAATGGATACTGCCTTCCCCCACATCAGGCCTACTCCCTGACAGCTTCCTCCCATTATACTGCCCCGCGTGGGGAGCTCACCCCCACCCAAAACACAACCCTCTCAGGAGTTCTGGGCGTTTCAGACCTTGGGAATCAGCTGGTTAGCTGTGTTTATTAGAGGGCCTTTGTTTTCTTCTTTGAAGACAGGAAGCTCATTAGCAACAAGCTAGAACAATCAACCTTTAACCCAGGCTTTAAAATGTCCCCTGAGGAGTGAGGGGGAGGGCTTGGTTGGGCATAGCCAAATCAGTTGCCAAGATGCCCAATCAGGACCTAGGCAGGCCACATTCCTGAGATTTTGAGGTTCCCCTGGGGTGTCTGCTTTCCGTCTGTGATCTATCTCACAGTTAGAAATATCAGGAAAAGCTGGGACAAAGTATAATGTGGTAATTAGTGACAATAGCCCTAGAGTCCAGTGATTGGTTCTATGTTATAGTCCAGTCACTTACTAAATGTGGCCTTGGGTAAGTTATTTAACCCTAGATTCCTTATCTTTAAAACAGGGATACATAGTAAAAATACCCTTCAAGACATGATGGTGAGGTGTAAGTGATCTCTATCTGTGTTATTTATAGAAGAATTCATTAATTCTCTGACTCACCCCCTTGCTGTGTGAGATGTGTGAATGAACAAGTCAATGACTTGATTTTGAGGAGGTAACTACTCAGTGAGACAGGCGAAATGTGTGTGTCATTATAAGATTTATAAATGTATGTGTCATTATAAGATTTATAAAATGTATGTGGCATTAAAAGATTTATAAATATATGTGTCATCATAAGATTTGTAAAATGCACACCCCAAGCTTTGGGAGCATGCTGAGGAGAAAGGGTGTGGGTCCAGTGCTAGTGGTGGTTCTGGTATGACAGTAGAGTGTATTAGGATTCAGTCACAGCATAAGGTCATAAGGTGGTAGTAATGGTGCTGCTGAGCATGTGATGGTGTGATGTCATAGTTGCAGTAACAGTCACTATAGTGAGGACATGGTGATGGTGTGATGTCATAGTTACAGTGACAGTCACTACAGTAAGGACATGGTGATGGTGTGGTGTCATAGTTGCAGTGACAGTCGCTATAGTGAGGACATGGTGGTGTGTGATGTCATAGTTGCAGTAACAGTCGCTAAAGTGAGGACATGGTGATGGTGTGATGTCATAGTTACAGTGACAGTCACTACAGTAAGGACATGGTGATGGTGTGGTGTCATAGTTGCAGTGACAGTCGCTATAGTGAGGACATGGTGGTGTGTGATGTCATAGTTGCAGTAACAGTCGCTAAAGTGAGGACATGGTGATGGTGTGATGTCATAGTTACAGTGACAGTCACTACAGTAAGGACATGGTGATGGTGTGGTGTCATAGTTGCAGTGACAGTTGTTAGAGTGAGGACATGGTGGTGTGTGATGTCATAGTTGCAGTGACAGTCGCTATAGTGAGGACATGGTGCTGGTTTGATGTCATAGTTGCAGTAACAGTCGCTAGAGTAAGGACATGGTGCTGGTGTGATGTCATAGTTGCAGTGACAGTCGCTATAGTGAGGACATGGTGCTGGTTTGATGTCATAGTTGCAGTAACAGTCGCTATAGTAAGGACATAGTGATGGTGTGATGTGGTGGTGGTGGCTTGTGTAAAGATGGAAATAATGATGTCGCTGATAGTGGTTGGGATTTCAAACAAGGTGTCAGTCATTAGAATAGTGGTCAAGGTGGTGGTGACAGAAGTGTTAATGCTTTGGGTAGTAGAGCTAGGAGGGTGACAGTGGGTGGTGGAGTGACACCAATGACTTGAAATGAGGATAATGGTGGGTAGAGGTGATGTTGACTTGCCATGAGAACGGTGGTGACAATGGTGCTATTGTGATGACTATGTGGTGGGGGTGATGGTGCAGGGGCTCTGTGATGGTTACTGCTGATCATCAGCTTGACTGGACTTGGAATTGCCTAAGAGATACACCTTCCAGCGTGTCTCTTCAGGGTGTTTCCAGGGAAGTTCCACCTAGGTGGGGAGAACCACCCTACATGTGGAAAGCACCATTCCATTTGGTCCTAGACTGGATTAAAACGGAAAGTGACCTGAGCACCAACATTCAGCCCTCATTGCTTCTGATTGCAGAAACTGTGACCAGCCGCCTCATGCCCCCAGGGCTGTTCCTTGCCCACCACACAGTGGGCATTCTTCACTGTCAACCTGACTGCATTTAGAATGACCTGGGAGACTGGGGTCCACCAATGGTTGTGTCTGTGAAAGTGTCACAGAGAATAAATTGAGGGGGAAAGAGCCACCGAGAGAGAGAGAGAGAGAGAGAGAGAGAGAGAGAGAGAGAGAGAGTTAGCCTTCTGTCTTTTTTCAGCTCTTTTGAGGTGTGAGCAGACAGCTTCATGCTCCTTCAACCCACCCTGGCCTAAGCTGACTTATCTCCGTGTCTTCCCTGCCACAAATCGTGAGCCCAAATAACTTTTCTCCCTTTACTTGCTTCCTGTCAGATATTTGTTCATGGAAATGAGAAAAATAACCAGCGCACCACGCTACCCGCATCTCACTTTTCCTTCTTTGAAATGGCGTGTGCATAGCACTCACCCAGAATATGCTGCTTGTGCTGGGCCCATGACAACGCTGGTAGCTCCAAACACGCTGGCTCTAGGGAAACAGATGATATCTTTAAACAGAGTGCCAAGAGACCCTCAGGAAGAGATTTTGTCTGTCAAAGTCAAGGACTGTACTGTGCAGAAGCAGAAAAGAGACTTTCTAAGTGGTGCTGATACAGTAATGAGAGGACTTGTCCTGGAGGCACAGAAATGACAACACAAAGCATAAAGGCCCAGGTAAGAGCTTGTTCTATCATTCATTCATTCATTCCTGAGACTTTAACTTGGAGCCTTTTTCATGCCACACACACTCTGACCACTGAGCTCTATTCCCAGTATTGTTTTGTTTGTTTGTTAAACCAGGTCTCATGTAGCTTTGGCTGGCCTTAAACATACTATGTCACCGAGGATGACCTTGAATTCCTGATCCTTTTGCTTCTACCTCTTAAGTACGGAGATTACAGGCCTGCACCACCATGCTTGGAGGGGAGCAGGGTCTCAGACAAAAGTTTTCATCAGAAAGAACAGACATTAATGAAACAGGAGCAGAAAGCTACTTTGGAAAACACAGTCAGCCCTCTGCAGAAATTGCAGCAGGTATTTTACTGGGGTGCTAATCCTAAGGGTGTCAGTACTGGGGTGCTAATCCTAAGGGTAACAGTTTCTTTCTCTTTTCTGGTGGGTCAATGGGATTTCCCCATGTCAATGGATAGATAGCTTATCCCTAGCAACATCCTGGGCATTATCTTATCTTGTGCCTGGTGGGGTTTCTCCTATGAGGAGGCAAGGAAATGAGGGACACAATTGACATACTGATAACAAATGGACTCTTGAAACTTCTGTGGGTTAAGGGCATGGCAGCCTATGGCAGCCTGTGACAGCCTGTGCCCTTTGTCCCCAGAAGTATCCCTATTGACTGTTTTAGCATCATGTAAGTAGATAGCAATTTTCAAATGTCCTGCTCACTGGGATGCGACATCCATTTGTTTATTGGTTTATTACATTTTATGCCTATGGTACTTTGAAGGAGCACTGTTAGGGAAGGTGGAGAAAGAGAGAAGGGGATACATGAACAGGGTAGCCAACATGATGGTTTTATTCAACTTATTATACTGTATTACCAGAGGGGAAGGGGCGTTCTTATCATAACTCTACAGGGAGTGGCGGGAAACAGAACTGAGAGCTGAAAACCTAGCTTGCCTGCTGCCATACTTTCTCTGTCTTTCTTCACACCTAGGAAAGCCTCCTTGTTATCTGGGAGCAGCTGGTTATCAGCTGATACTTTGGTAGGATTGACTGTGATAGTACCATGAAGTCAGCCGAGTTCCCAGCTAGGAGGGAAGCAGGCATGGGTCAGCTGCTTTCTCCATATGCTGCCGCCTGCTGGGCTTGGCCAGCAAACAAATCTTGGTAATGAATGTGGAGGTCCAAGCTGTAATCACAACACTTGGAAGACAAAGGGAAGAAGGAGTTTGAGCCTAGCCTTGGCTACACACTACCCTGGGCTTAATGAAACCCTGAAATGAGCAAGCAAGCAATCAGGCAGGCAGGCAGGCAGGTGGGTAGGTGGGTGGACTGGCAGGCAGGCAGGCAAGCAAACTCATTTCAAGAGCTTTGAGTCTGAAATGAGAATCCATGAGGATCAGAGCAGAGAACCCCCACTTTTGAACAGATACACAATTGAGTCTATCAGAGAGCAGAAGCCTCTCTTTCCCCATAGCATCCTGCTTGTCCCCCCACTCCTCCCAAGGCACTCCTGATCCTGGAAGAATGGTTGCATTTCCTAATGTAGGGACTGGTGTGTGCTAGAGTTGCTAAGATGCTTCCTAATCCACAGTTAAAGACCACTCCCAGGGCTGCAGGGATGTCTCATAAGGTCAAAGTTCAGCTTCCAGCCTATACGTTGTCATCTTAGCTCTCACAGTACACTTCCTTCAGGTCTAGTATCCTTCATCTGGTTTTGCTGGTATCTCTCTTAGAGAAGCAGGCTTTTAAAGAGGTTTTTACTTGCTAGCTTTATTTCTCATTGATTTCTAAAACATTTGTATGTGTGTCATGCTGTATATAGTACACAAAATAAAATATGACTAAGTAAGTTGTTTCTTAGTGTTTATTCATTGCATCAGTGTCTTAGTAAGGGTTTCTATTGCAGTGAAGAGACACCATGACAATGGCAACTCATATAGGAAAACATTTAACTGAGGTGGTGGCTTACAGTTCAGAGGTTCAGTCCATTATCATCATGACGGAGAGCATGGCGGCATGCAGGCAGATATGGTGCTGGCTACATCTTGATCAGAAGGCAACAAGAAGTGAATTGACACTGGGCAGTATCTTGAGCATAGGAAACCCCAAATCCTGCCCACACAGTGACACACTTCCTCCAACAAGACCATGTCTACTCAAACAAAGCCATACCTCCTAATAGTGCCACTCCCTATGACCTTATGGGGACCAATGACATTCAAACTACCACAATCAGGTTAAGATACTACGATGGTTAATGCTAATTGTCAACTTGACAGAATCTAGAGTTGCCTGGAAGCTAGGTCCCTGAGCATGCCTATGGGAGAATGTCTTGATTACTTTAATTGTAGGAAGATTCATCTTAATTTTGGGCAGACTATTCCTCCAGAAAAGCAAGATGAACATTGGCATACATTTCTCTCTCTGTGTTTCCTCATTGTGTATGCAATGTGATCAACTCATGGGGGATGTCCTTCTGTACATATGTTTCTCTTATTGATTGATGAGTAAAACATGGATTGGCCAGTAGCCAGGCAGGAAATATAGGCAGGGCTACCAGACAAGGAGAATTCTGAGGTGAAGAGGCAAAGAGGAGCCACCAGAGAGGTGCCATGTAGTTGCCGAGGAAAAAGGGGCCTCACCAGTAATCCCAAGACCATGTGGAAATACTTAGATTACTAGAAATTGGTTAATAATTAAGTGAGAGCTAGCCATTAAGAAGCCCAAGCCATCAGCCAAACATCTTATAATTAATACAAGTATCTCTATGTTTATTTGGGGCTAAATGGCTGAGGGACCAGGTGGGACAGAATCTCCGTCTATAATCAACTGCTTTAGACTCCTGCTACCTTGATTTCTCCCACGATGATGGATAGTATCCTTGGGCTGTGAGTCAGAGGAAACCCCTTCCCTCTTAAGTTGTTTTTAATCAAAGTAAAAATAAAAGAAACCAAAGATGATGATGCTACAGTGCTATATGAACCCTAAAATTTGGAAGTTTATGAGGCTAAATACACAATTCTCATATCCAGAGCCAAGATGATTGGTCAAGAGCTGTCTTGGGCAGGAGCTCTACCCCAGGCAGTGAGTCAGTGTTCTAGTTTCCTTTTATCTTTTGTGACAATTGTTTTATTATGTTCTCTTTAAGATGGCTACAGAAGAGGAGGAGGAAAATGGAGGGTCATCTATCATCTCAATTGGCTGGGGACTGTCATTCAGGTGTGTATCCTGGGGGAACAATGAAACAGGTTGGTGAATTTTAGGCTTGTGTCTGCCACTGTTATGACACTGAACCATAGACTGCCCCACTTGAGCCCACAACTCAACCCCAGACATAACTAGGAAAGCTACATGTGTGCTTGTCCCTGACTTCAGCCCAAATTTCTTTCTTTCTTTTTTTTTTTTTAGATCTCCAGTTTATTTTATTTTTTTTTTTCAGATTTTTAAAATTTTGAATTAGGAACAGGATTGTTATACATGACAATCCCAGTTCCCTTCTCCCTCCTGTCCTCCCCTACCACCACCCCCAAATAAGACCCTACCTATCACATATCTTTTCTGCACCCCCTGGATGGTGAGGCCTTCCATAGGGTGTCATCAGAGTCTATTGTATCCTTTGGAGTAGGGCCTAGGCCCACCACCTTGTGTCTTGGCTCAGGGAGTATTCCTCTGTGTGGAATGGGCTCCCAAAGTCCACACCTATGCTAGGGATAAGTACTGAACTACTGCAGGAGGTCCCATAGATTTCTGAGGTTTCCTCACTGAAACCCATGTTCCTGGGGTCTGGATCAATCCCATGCTGGTATTCCAGCTATGAGTCTGGGGAGCAAGAGTTCCCTGATGTTCAGGTCAGCTGTTTCTGTGGGTTTCACCAGCTTGGTCTGGACCCCTTTGCTCTTCAATCATCCTTCTCTGCATCTGGATTTCAGTTCAGTGATAAGTTGTGTGTGTCGGCTTCTACTACCACCAGCTGCTGGATGAGGGCTATCAGGTGGCATATAAGTCAGTCATCAATCTCATTATCAGGAGAGGGCATTTAAGGTAGCCTCTCCTCTGTTGCTTAGATTGTTAGCTGGTGTCATCTTTGTAGATCTCCAGACATTTCCCTAGTGCCTGATATCTCTGTAAACCTAAAATGTCTCCCTCTATTACGGCATCTCCATTCTTGTTATCTTCAATTCTTCCCCTGACTCAACCTTTCTGC